AAAAAAAAAAAAAAAAGATATTTAGGTTAATTGTAATATATTAAAAATATATTAAATTTATTAAAATTTAAAAAACTTTTTATATTTTTTGGTAATAACCGTCAATCTGGCGTCACATAATCAAATGATTTGTTTTGATATTAGTATTAATTTTATAAATTTTTTATGTTTAGAAAAGTTTAGAAAAAAAATAATGTGAATTGGATCGGCACGATAGAAAAAAAATTGGTGACAGATCAACATTTTAAAGTTTATAATTATTTGAATATAATAAACCCTTCGGATAAATGTTATTTAAAGTTCATTATAAAAATTTTTTTATACTTATTTGTTGATAATTTGTACAATAAAATAAAATATAAAATTCTCACACCCTTTTACACTGTCTTTTTGATTCATATTTAACGGAAAATTTCTGTGACAAACAATAATAAATAAATAAACAAATTTCCTTTGGAAGCAGACAGGATACCTTTCAAATATATCCTAGAAATGTTACAAACATAGAACTGGATTTTTTGTGTTCGAACTTTTAAGCACTAAGAGGTTAGGAATTCGAATAAGAATAACGAGGATAATATGATATCTTACACTTTCTTTAAATAAAAATATAAGACGCGAAAATAAATGAAAAAAATTTCGGAATATTAACTTGTCAATTTTATGGTTTGTTTCACAAATTATTAATTTGACCAATTGATTCGGAATATGCTTTAATTGGTTCATATAATTATTTTCATTCGAATGAAGAATTTGGAATTATGACGGATATAAATATTTGGTAATTGGTCAAACAATAGATAATAAGATAAATTGATCTGATGTGAAGATAGTGGGAATTTTTTTAGTGAGAAATAATAAATAAAAATGCAATGTTATACACATTTTTTTATGAATTCTAATGTTTTAGTTTTATTATTGGACAAATTTCACGTGCATTATAATAATTTATTTATTATTCGGTTTACCCGATTTTAATAAATAAGCCTATTTACCATAAAAGTAATTGTGGTTGTATTTTCTTGGCGTCAAATTAATCGACCGAATACATACACATATATCGAAAGAGCAAATTACGAATTTTTGATTAAGGAAAATCTTTGGATGCAAAAAAGTTAATAAAAATGTTATTTAAAATTGTCAAGAAAAGAATAATGAGGAATGGTAGGACTTTTTTTTGATTTTTTTAAGAAAAAAAACAAATCTGTTTCTCTCCGTTTCCATTTGTATTTGTAATATTTGTATTATTTTCATTGATGATCATCAATAATAGTAATAAATAATGTATTATTTTTTATAATTTATGTAATTACATAATAATAGCTTATTAGGTTGATATTAAAATTTCATCACACTCACCAATTAAGAAATGATTTGTGAAAACCTTTCTAACTGTCAATAGTAAATTGTGCAATAACAGATTTGATTCGGAATATTTGTTCTATATTCTATCTGTCCCATCTAAACCTTCGTCTTTTAACGTTTAGATATAAAATAAACAAATATTAACTAATGTAATGGAAAAAGCATTTTGTAGCACGTTATTATATTATGAAACATTTAACTGAGAATTTTACCGTACATGAGGTAAAATAGGTAAATATTAACACAAAGAGACGGATAAAAAAAAAAATTTTTTTAAATATAAAAAAACTCGAAAACGAATATCATTATGGTTATTTTTTTTTTATGTTTTTAATTTTAATTAATTTTGACATATCTTTTTGTCATCTCTCAACGACATACCCCCTTTCAACTGACTATTGAAGTCGATCTTTTTTTGTTATAAATAATTTATTCCCTCCCAAAAATAAAAAAAAAATTATATATAAAATATTAATATAGATTGTAAAGAAAAAATATAAAAAAAATTCAGCTTTTTTTTTTTAAAAAAAAAAAAAAAAAAAAAAAAGAAAAAAAAAAAGCAAGAAAAGATAAATTGACTTTTATCATCACCCCGTAGTTTAATATTCCAAGAGTATCGATTAATAATAATAATTCGAAATAAAATCTATGTTAATAAATTCGATAATTTAATTATTATAAAAAAAAATTCGATGGGACATAGACCCTCTAAAATATCTAAATTATCTAAATTATCATCAAAATTAAAAAAAAAACCAAGTATGAATAATTCTTCTTCAAGAGATAATAATACTTCTAATTCTTTATCAGGATTTGAGAATTTTAATGAACCTATATTTAAATTTGAAAATGGAAGAAGATATATTAATAACGATTCGATTCAATATCTTTTACCAAATGATGATGATGAAAGTATGTGAACAAAAAAAAAAGAAATTAATCAATTTCTTTAAAATATGAAATTAATTATGAATTGCTTTACTAGTTGATCGATTACAGATGCAACATTATCTGCTTCGATATATATGGCAAAGTAATTTTTCCGCTCCTGTTAAGGAAATTCTTAGATGTGGCGCAAAAGTTTTAGACGTAGGGTATGTTGATCTCGATCGAGTTGTACCACGATTTATTTTAACAAACTAATTTTTTTTTTATTTTTTTTTACAATTTCAGTTGTGGTCCAGCAACATGGACTCTTGAAATGGCTTCAGATTACCCTCGTTCCCATTTCATAGGAATTGATATTGCTCCAATTTTCCCTTCGGAAATAAAACCTATCAATACGGAATTTCAAATACAAAATGTTACTCATCGTTTACCTTTTGATGATAATTCATTTGATTATATACATATGAGATTAATGTTGGCAGTCTTAAAAGAAGAGGAATGGAAAAGTGTCGTATTACCTGAATTATTTAGAATATTAAAACCTGGTGGTTACATTGAATCACATGAATTCGATTTTCGTATTGTTAATCAAGGTCCTTGTATGAAGATATTGGTGGAAGGATGTAAGGTTTGGATTTTATTTCAATCAAAATCAATGAAAAAAAATATTAATTATTTTTTTTAAAAAAAATATTTTCTTAGTTATTCAATTCTGTAAAACAAAAAACATGAATCCTATTGTATGCCCACTTATTCCAGGATATTTACAAGAAAATGGTTTTGTTGATATCGATACTTTGAAAAATTCCGGTCATTATGGTTCTTCAGCTGGTAGATTTGGAAAATTAGTAAGTCAATTTAATTATAATTTTCAAAAAATTTTCAAAGAATTCTTTTTTTTTTTCTAAATAATTTTTTAAATGAAATAATTTTTAATTACAGGCTCTTGAAGATTTTATTTTGGTTTTTGATGCATTAAAAACTCCAATCTCTTCAATTCTTGAAATTAATAATGAAGAATATCAAAATTTATTGGATAAACTTCAAGAAGAAGTTGATACTAATGATACTTTTTATGAAGTTTACAAGTTTATTGGAAAAAAGTTTATTCCAGAAAATTAAATAAACTAAATTTAAGTTAGTTATTTTATGTTAATTATAAATTTTTACATTAAGTTTTTAAAATAACATTATGTATTAAGAAATACGTTATAATAATTTTATAAGATTAATTTTTAATAAATAATAAGAAATTAATTAATTAATATAAAATTCTTCTTGTGGGATCACCGAAAATTCGTCTCATCGAAAAATCAACTTACGACAAGTTTTAAGTTATAAAAAGATTTATTTGTATTTTTTATTACTCAATATTATGATGTTTCATAATATAATTAATCACTTGTACAAATATTTAATAATACTGTTTATAAATACTAGCAAATGCTTTAAAATATATTTTATAACAAATACTTGATGTATGTAACATAATTATAATATGGGTAATTATTAAAATTAGTTATAAAGAATCTTAAATATTAAAAAATCTTGACATGATATTAAGACGGTGAAATGATTTTCGGTGAACTCAAAGTTGGTTGTCAGTGTCTCAGTGAAATAATTGTCAGTAAAATAAACTGATCCCCTTCTTGTCCCTGGTAAAGACTTTATGAATTACGGATTAATTTTGATCTTCAAAACAAATTGAAACATCCATTCTAAGCGATGTTCAAATCGATGATTATGTAGTGATTTCTATATGTTTATCCATCATTGAATAAAAGACTATGTCCATACTACATATTGTATACTATTGCGATTTGCAGTAACGATCTGAAGTTTCACTATTTTTTAAGCGATGAACTTCATCCACCGCCTATTACTGCTAATGAATTCGTATGTCGATCTTACTTATATCAGCTGTATCAGCTGTATGTAATTATGCATCAATAACTTGTAATAACCACCAGTTCAGTTTAAATTGATGAACTATATATAATTCGTTTCGTTTAAACTGCTGAAAATGATTCTGTTTGAACTGCAATTCAACAGTTCAGTTGAAGGACCGTTCAAACCACGGGTTAAAAAATTAGGCAGCTATGCGATTATACATTTTGATATTCAAAATACTGATAATAAGATCTGATAATAAGATAACACTCATGATCCGGACAAATCAAACCCCAGAAAGTTCAAAATCCTGAACCTCCTTTATTCCCAACACATAATGACGCTTATTACAGTATATTAAAAAAACAATTCTTATGTAATTAATAAACTCATAAATCCATAATAAAAATTTCAAACCAATTAAATTATCGTATAATATTGACTAAAAGACTCCCCCTCTCGGCGTACCCCCTACTATATAAATACCCGTCCAAATATGTGGATCTATTTCCTCAAAATCATCATAATTTAAATTTTTCATATACTAAATCCTTCTAGTACTGACAGGATGGAAGTATATACCCGGGTACTAATCAACGTTTTAAACCGGGTAAATTGACAGTACTATAAAAATGCATGAAAATTTGTGATTATAAAATTTTAATATAATAAACTTCATAAATATAGTTAATTATCAGGATAATGAGTATCAGGATTTTGGACTTTTAGGATTATGATTTGTTATATATGTTGTGCCTCAGATTGATTCTTGCCTCAAATTAAAACTACCAAATGGATGTGACGAATTATGTATATACACGTGATGATCTACATAGTAAAATTACCATATATGTAATGCACGTGATCTGGTGTTGATCTCACGCAGCGTGAGTTTTAATCTGAGGCAAGAATCAATCTGAGGCACAACATATATATATATGTCAGGATCATGAGTGTTGGGTTGTGTTAACGGGATTCTTATCGTCAGGATTTCGTAGTAAATCCGTCATTGCCGATTAAAAGCGTATTTCACCGACATCACATTTTCCGAAACCATTTTAACGAATCCCTATTTTGCCGACAAGCCAAGGAATATTTTCAATGATATAAATTTTTTTGTTTCTAAATTCTAACTGTTCTATCTGAAAAAAAAATAGAGAAAGGATTACAAATTGGTGCTATATAATCTTGAATGCATTTTGTAATCAGTTCTTTTACTTGAAAATTAAGGCGCAGTAAAGGAGTGAGGCGCAGTTAATAAATTTTCGGCAAGTCGGGTAATTTACATGGAATCGCATACTTTGAGGAGTCGTCCAGAGAATTTTATAATGCCCTAGACATTATCCGCCAACTGTCTCGTCCCACCCTATTTGAAAGAAAAATTTTCAATTATTTAATTTATGCATAAAAAGTCATAATTTTACCTAGAGATTTGAAAATTACTGCCATTTAATTCGTCATGACAGGATTTGGGCTATATATGACAAGTTCTATAATCACCTATCTCTCTTTGAGAACTACATGAGCAGATGGCAATTTACTATTAAATTTATTCGCATAGTAAATATTGATCACCTTCTGGATATAATGATAAACGAAACCAATTTTAATAATAGATCTCCAACAAATAAACAAAATAATATTATTATCAGAAAGAATCAAAAGTGACTGGTCAAAATCATCCTAGAGTTTATAATGTTGATTTCGGAAATTTTGACCAGTTATATACATTGTACAGTAATTAAATTGATCGTAATTATGGATATGGAGCTTCCTTAACGTACGCCGTGTACAACCTTAATCTGCATTCTGGGCGGAATTATGACATTAATGGAATATTGGCTCTGTGATCTCCGCATGATCTTAAATCCGCTCACAAATTACATTAATAGTAGCGCACATTATTTGTATATAGCACACATCTGTAAGAATCTTCACATAATCAAAAATTATCATGTATGCTACTCTGAACGACATCAGAAAATTATTTAATGTGACATATAAGACATATAATGCGTGGGAATAAGTAAAAAAAATATGACAAAAGACAAGTCGGTCACGTGATGGCATTTTATATCGCGATAAATCGGATATCATGTTCGATATATCTGGCCCTCAACCAATGGTTGGGCCACCCTATCTCTTCATCGAAAGGGTGAGGTCCCGGCGCTGGGATGAATATCGATTTTCCATCTTCATAGAATCCTCTTTGTCTTTTTTTGTACATACGATTGTTTTTGGGATGGATCCCGATAAACCACTCTTTTAAGAAATAAAATAAATAAATAAATATAACTGGCCCTTTACCTTTCTGGTGTGGGCTGTAGTGTTTCGTGTCGTGTATTATAGCTTCCCTTTCCACCAGAGAATTCTTTTTGTACTACTTCTCGAACTACTAATATAACTTCCTGTAGTCGTTACTGTTAACGTATTTTTCTGTGAAATAAAAATAAAAGTACCTTGCCCCTCCTCGCTCTTAATTAGTCCGGTCGAACCTATTGACTCAAAAATAACAGGCATGATGATTCCTTTTTGGGATTAGGTAGTAGTAAATATAGCTTAGATTATATTTTTCTAAGTAGTATTAATAAATTGATCTATATTTTTTTACGCCTCTGTACTTGTCTGTCTACATACTAAAAACAGCTTTACGCAAAACTTTATTAAATACATGCTAAAAATAAAAATAATAATAAAAACAAAATATTCGACATATCAATGTATCGAAGTTAGAATCCAGTATATCAAAATTTACAAAGAAAAAAAAAAGCTATTTTTATACTTTAATTGAGGGGTTAAAAATTAAAAATAAAATAAAAATTCTATATGATATTTACATAGAAGAATTTTGGTTTAAAATCTTAATTCCAGTCGATATGATTAATTTTGATCAAAATCAAGTTTTTCTATATAAATTAATATAAAGTTAATATAAATTAATACCATTTTTTTTGGAATCAAATCCGATTTATAAAATATCACAAATTTTTACTGTATATCACGATATGACAGATTTGGTTTCAGAAGAAAAAATTCGAAATAACACCCTTATCGAAGGTCCAGTTTATCATTGTACAGCCCAAATTTGGACCAAAACAAACCTCTTAGTAGGTATTTCAAAACTCGACCAAAAATTGTTAATATTCGCGCGTTTTTATATGTTCCCTCAAATTTTGTTCATAATATAATTTTTTTTTTTACAATATAATAAAAATAATATAAAACTTGATCGAAAATATTATATACATGCTATATACAGTCAGAACACCGATTTTGACTCTACGATTTTTTTTCTCAACCCAAATCCACGTATAATTAATTTTACTACTATATAGTATATACCGATTTTATTATAAATTTCGTGATATACAGTAGCTATACCGACTTTAAGCTGTAAACCAGTTATATTATATTATTCGCAATAAGCCGATACCGATTTTTGATACCCATGAAATAACAAGTATTTTATTCTATATGCCGATTTTTCATCGATCTTCACCAAAGAGAGTAAAGATAACAAGATGCAAGTTAAATATCAAGACAAATTTTTCGCCCCTTTTATTATCTCTTTATTATCGTTATGTCTACAAATAAGTGTGTTACTTTATCTGTAGCTCATGTTTTATAAATATAATGCGTCTATTATAAAAAAAAAAAAAAAATTGATAAACCGAATTATAAAAAATTTACATATTAAGTTCGGTATAACAAGAATATTTGATTTACCGAACTTTCGGTATAACGACTTAAATCACCCGAAAGGAGGAAGGTTCGTTATATCGAGAAATGTGAACTTTTTTTTCTATCGGAATAAAAAAATGGAAAATTTGGTAAATTTGGTTCGAATGTCTAATCTAGTCATTAATTTTAATAGAAAAATATCTTTTTTTTTTTTTTTTTTTTTTTNATAAAGTAGTAATAAGTAAGGAAAGTAAATCAAAGAATCCAATAAAATTGTGGTACAAAATATTTTTTTTTTTTTGATGATTCTGCAATCAATGCAATCAATTTTACGAAAATATTTTTCTTTCAAAACAAATCAAGTTTTACTATCAGAGTACAAGATAAAAACAATATAATTTATGTACAAGATAATATGAGGACTTTTTTGTGTAATTGTAACGTATTCTTTGTGGCTTTGAAAATCATAAATGAAGAATTACGAATAGATGCTCCCCCAATTTAACTTTGTTGTTTCACTACAGAAATTAAAAGCTTTCATTTTTTTTATATTTCCATATTTTGGTTAAATTTGATTAAGATTATCTGATTTATTAGAACGAAAACAAAAGCTTTTGAGAATAAAAAAAAAATAAAAAAAGCTGCTGTTGCTGCTGATATTATTTATTAATGTTTCATTCTAGAATGAACGGCAATGGTTTATTAGTTTATATAGATTTCCACACAGCATAATTGACAACTTGCTTTTTTAGAATATAACATTTATTACATAATCAAAAACGTTTCAAGATTAATATATATAATAAATAAAAATAGAAATTATTAACACATTTTAGGATATAACGTAAATTATAATCACAATATAAAAAGAGATTATTATTATTATTATTATTTGACATGCAAATTTTATTTTTTATACATGAAACCCCTAAATAAAGAAGAAAAAAAAAATAATATTTTAACAACCCGTAAAAATTAAAATATTATATGTTGTATTTCGGATATTTGATTAGTCGGTTTGTGTTTAAAAAAAAAAAAAATTGACATTTTATAAAAACATTAAAATTTAATTTTACCTGAATAAGATTAATATTATTCATTTGCGGCATATATTTGCAGCATTAGGCAACGGATATGTTATGCATATATGCGATGTAAAATGAAAAAGCCGATTTTCAGGTATTTTACATTTTTTACGTCAGATATTACGTTACCACAATTCAAAAATTTCCGAGAGTTAGTAAATGATGAGCCCGAACATTTTTTTTTTTTTTTTTTTTTTCAAACAGTAACAAGTTCAAACAGATATAATATAGATCGAAACTTTTGTTTCACAGCAAGGGCCTTTTAAAATTATTATCGAAACAAACATGTTATAATACATTTGATTTTAATATAATGTTATGTTACATCACATATTACCGCAGTCCGGTTAATGTATTAGTAAAAAACAGGGATCTTTATTCTTCCTAAATAGATGCATTTAAGTAATTCACGCGGTAAGACCAACCGAAATAGATAAAAGTTTATGTTTTCTTACACAGTTTTAAGATTAATTTGGCAAAAAAAAGAGTAAAATGGCGTATAAAAGAGTAAATGGCGTATAAAAAAAAGAAATGTATTATCTTTCATTGGGGTAATTTTTTTTTTCTCTCTCTCTTTTGATCTAAGACTAATACAAAACGGAAAATTTTATTTTTATATTGCGTTGGTACATAAATTGTAAATTTTTGATTTCCCAAGTAAGTGGTCCACGATTTCCCAATCTCTTCCCGGAACTGGTATAATCATTATGCATTAATAATTTTGGACATATTTTAGGTGACACGAGAACGATAAATAATGCGAAAATGGATCATGTATATAAAAGTTATAGCAAATCTGGGGCCCTTAAATATAATAAGGAACAAATAGGAATATAAAAAAATTATGAATTGGATACAATATTATTAAATTATTGAATCATTATAATATCTTGTATGACAGAAGAATCAAACCATGTTTCGAAGCACAAATGAAAATTATTAATATTAATGTCTTCTAGGTATATGGAAACAATGAATTTACAAATTAGATTCATTATTTGAGGTACATAAAAATAAATAAATTATTCAAAAATTTATCTTATTACACATCAAAAAAAGGCATCGGTTTTATCTTTTTTTTTTTTTGTATCAGTTTTTTTTTTAAAGTTTGTTACGTAAGATTTTATTTTTAGTAAAAAAAATGTATATATATAAAACCATTAAAAGGAAAAAAACTTTTTTCTTTCTTTATACTCAAACTTGCAAAAATAGTTTGGTTGCATTTTGGGGCTTTATTTATTTATTAATTAGCATATTTTGTATACAATACATTTCTTTTTGTCTTTTACGGCAAATTTTACATTCCTTAAAAATCTTTTTTTATACCATTTTTATATTGTATTTTATTTATCTTTTTACATTCTTTTATAATTTTTTATTAACCTTGTTCTAATTTGAAGAACAAATTACATTCTTTTATTATTTTTTATAAATAATGGGTAACACACCATCTTATCAATTTAAACTTAATAGAACTAAATGTCCAATTAGTTACGGTCGTAATAGTAACGATTCATTTAAATTTATTAACGGTAGAAAATTTTTAAAGGATTCCGATAAATATATTCTACCAAGCGATGAGAAGGAACTTGATAGGTTACATGTACAACATGATTTACAAATACAAATATGGAATTCTCATTTTTCTTCTCCAGTTGAATCAATCTTGAAATCAGGAGGAGCAGAAGTTCTTGATGTCGGTTGTGGATCAGGAAATTGGTTATTAGAGATGGCAACGAATTACCCTTCATCTAATTTTACAGGAATTGATATTTTACCTTTATATCCTTTGGATACTCATCCTTTGAACGTAATATTTGAATCAGTTGACGTTTCAGCAGGTTTACCGTTTCCTGACAATCACTTTGATTTTATTCATCTTAAATGTTTGCTTAGTACAATGTCAGAAAAATATTGTAATATGAAAACATTATATAATGAATTAATAAGAGTATTGAAACATGGTGGTTGGATTGAAATAATGGAACATGATAATGAAATAATTAATCCTAGTCCAACTATGAAATTTTTCTGCAGTTCATGTGAGTTATAATTTTTTCAATTATTTTAATTATTTTAATTATTTTTCCCCCTTTTCCCTCTTTTCCCCTTTTCTGATAAAAATTATAAATTATTAGATCAAGCGTTATTACGTCAACGTGGAATCAATGTGTATCTATGCCGTGAGATCCCTAAAATTCTCGACAGACATGGATTTATCAATATTCATAATGAAGAGAAGATAACATATCATGGGGAAAAAAATGGAACTATTTGTGAATTGAGTATTAAAAATATCATCTCAATTTTTTCAACATTAAAAAGTTCAATTTTAGAATTCACGAGCATAAATTCAGAAAAATTTGATAACTTATTACAAGATCTTATCAAAGAAGTAACCGAATGTGATAGTGGATTTAAAACGCAAAGATTTTTTGCGCAGAAACCTTAATGAATTACATCCTTTAAAAAAAAAACAAAAATTTTTAAAAAACACAACATTCCTTTCTTCCTCCCCTCCTCCTAACTTTATTAACATTTAACTACAACAAACCTTTTTTTATCCAATTTCATTCGAATTGCATTATTTACAATATATCTCGCCTCTCCTTTATTTTTTCTTTCAGTTATAATATGAACAGCTTTTCTTGTAATATAATTAAGGATTACACGGAGAGTTTTATGTATATTATTTTTTCAATTTATTATTGGTAAAAAAAAAAAAAAAATGATGGTACGTGAAACGGGTCACGTAAACTGTTATATATTTTCAATTCAATAATAATAATTATTTTATTTTTAATTAACATTTTTTTTAATGGGTGTCATTTTTTAATCTAACACTTTGTATATTCAAAATTTTTTTTTAACATCAAAAAAAAAAAATCATAATCATTCATTTTTTTTTTCATTTGTGAATAATTTTTTTTATCATCTCAATCATATTTTTTTTTTTTTTGTTTTGTTTATACATACATAATACAATATTATACATATTTTCCACTTTTTCCCACTTTTTCCCATCGCTCAAAACAAATAAATTCAGTTTACTTCATTGAAATTTTCCTTTTTAAAAAACGTATATTTTTAAAAAAGGAATCGCCCAGGTCTTATTATTATTATTATTATGTAATAAGTATTAAACAAATGATAATAATAATAAAAAAAAAAAAACGATGAATGAAATAAAATTTTTAATTAAAGTGGTGATTTATTGATGCATTATATTTGTACTTCTTTTTTTTTAAACAAAAAAATTTTTTTGGTACCATTGATGCTCGTTCGTAAACTCGTGATACGTAACAACTCGACGTCATTTAAATAACAGATGTTTAATAATTAAGTTTACGTTTAGCAAGCAGACTTATGTAACAAACGTAAAATTGTTTTCTTATTAAATAAATAATAATAATTAAAAATATTTAACTGGTTTTGTTTTAATCTCAGAATTTCAAATAATAATTAATGATTATAAAGCATCTAAAACTCATTAGGAAATCATAGAATTTTCCAACGAAATTTGTAAAGGATAAAAATTAAATAGGAAATCAAAGAATTTTCATGTGAAAAAATATTTTATTTGTTAAAAAACTATAAAATCATATATATATATAAATTATTTTAATTACAAAAAAAAGGTTCAACCCATTTTATTTTATATAATAAAGAAAATCTACACGACTATACTTTATAGTCCATATCCAGACTATACTTTATAGTCCATATCACGACTATACTTAATAGTCCTATACTTTATAGTCCTTAATCACGACTATATTTTATAGTCCTTATCATGACTCTAATGTAGGATGGAATAAATATTTTTTGAAATTAATGTCAATATATACTCTATATATATATTAATTAATGTTCTTATGCTCGCTTTCATATTGTTTAATTTCTTTCTTACAATTACTATCATCATGAATATGAAAACCAAAATAACCTCTGTCTTGATCACAAATCCTTCCTTCTCTGGCGGCAAGATAAGTTAGTAAAGTTTGATCTTGACGATGATTTGCCCTACTACTTCCAGGAGGTGCGATACAATCTTTTTCTAAAGCACATTCGTACCAAGAATCAATCAATGATTGAGTACGTTTAGTGTCAAATGCTATACTTGCACCATTACAATTTGGTAAATTATCATATTTTGTATGATCATCATTAAAGTAATCATAAATTCCTGGATGAGTCCAATTTATCATTAAACCGGGTGATGAAGGTGAAACGAATCCATTACTTTCATCTAAAAATTTATTAACATTTCGAAAAAATTTTTCTTGAACTTTGGTTCCACTATCCAACCAAATTATAACACCAGGATATTTTTGTGATATTTCGTAAATCATTCCAGGTTTCCAAGCGTATTCCCCTCTTGCAATACTTATATTCCAGAATGATGGATATTTTGACCAATCAAATAATTCCACTTTTGTTAAATATCCTTTATTTTGTAAATCACTTAGCTCTTCATTTTGTTTGTTTGACAATCCTAGATCATATACAATTATTCTTGTCTTAGTTTGGGACTCTTTTATTGTCTCATGGATAGTGTAAAGAAAACTTTTTAAGGGACAAAAATGATTTTTGCTCGCTCCTGTTATAATTGTAGGTAAAATATCATTAGTTAAATGTTCATCTGTTTCTTCATCCTCTAAACCCTCGTATTTATCATCCTTAATGTCATTCGTATAATTTCCTTTCAATTTTTCATACTCATAATCTAAGATAAATAATATATATATATTTTTTTTTTCAAAGAAAGAAAGAAAAATTAGTAAAATTCACTTATACATTTAAAAAGAATAAAAAAAAAATAATACGCTACCTTTAAAAAGTTCCGAATCAGGATATACATGTAAGTATATTCTTGTCATTAATAAAGTTACTATGAATACTATTACTAGAACCAGAATTTTTTTTCTAATCGAATTCGACATATTTTGTTAGTAAATAATATGTATGTGTATGTAACTTAATATTTGTTTTTCTTTATATTGAAAATTATTACTAAAAAAAAGAGCTAATTCTTTGGGGGGGAGGGAAAAAAGGAAGGAAAAGGGTCAGCGATAAGAAGAAGAAGAAGAAAAAAAAACAATATTATGCAAATAAAGTTTTAAACTTTTTTTAAACCATAAAAACTTTTTTTTTTTTTTTTTTCGTTCCAAATTAGATTATTTTAAGAGAAAGAAATTTCCTTATGTTCGGGTAATACAATATATTTTTGGCTTAATAATGACAAATTAATAAAACAAATTATTTTTAGAAATATAAAAAAAAAAGATACCCTTTTTTTTTTACCTAATCTGAATTTTTTGGGGGATTACCACATTTACCACAGTAAATTCCTAAATAAAAAAAACTCCGATTTAAAAAAATAAATATTTGGTACTAACAATTTATCACGACATGATTACTTGCAGATATAATAGGTATAATTAAAATAAAAAGTGATAAAAATGGAATGTTCCAAAAAAGATTATGTTATATACCGGCAATTCACTATTTGGATTATTATTATTTTTTTTTTCATTCTATGATAATACTATTTACATTAAATCAATCATTTTTTTTTATTGTTTGGTCGTACAAATAGTAGTTCTCTCCATTTTCACTCTTTGACATTAATTATTATTATTATTATTTTCTTGTGTAATTCAAAAATTGCCGTATTTGTTTTTTTTAAAAAAAAAGTTTTTGTTTAAATGAAATTTTTTACATTTTGTTATTTATTTTACGTTACTAACGATGTAAATAAAAAAAAATTAACTCTAACATACATATACCAAAAATTTTATTACTATTGAACGAAAACTTCTAGTACCAAACGATCGTCTAACTTTTTTTACTTTTTTCCGAATGATTGATTTCATTAACGTGAAACCATAAACAAACAAAGAAAAATTATATTTACAAAATATATTATTTAGATAATCATTAAAAAATGATTTTTGTCAATAGTTAACATACAATGATTTAAATATTACCCGGTGATACATATTTTCGGATAATAGATTATGATGGTAATAGTTCTATTGGTTCTCATATAAAAATTATAAAGAAATGTAACGATTATAATCAGTAATGGTTCCGATCTTTATCACTTTTCACTCTTACGTCACATCTTGTCATACTCCTCATTGAACTTTTATTAGGAGAATTGTTTATGTAACAAAGTTTTCGCGATTAAAAATAATATATATTACAAAGTATGAAGTTTCTATAATGGAAATACTAACAAGTAAATATAATATATATATATATTCGTACTGTTAAGTGTTAGCAAGCAAGACTTCGAGAGTGTCAAAGAAAAATAATAAATTGGCAAACAAGAAAATCTCCGTAAGCGCATGCTTTACGATACTTATCATACATCATATGATATTTGCCAAGCGTTTGCCAAGAATTAATTTTATTACCTTTATTTGATAATTAATTAATTAATTATAACTAGTTAAGATTTACAGTATCGCAAGTAACATAAATCAAAAAATGGCTTTTTCTTTCTTCCTTAAAAGACCAGCTGAAACCTTTCAATTTGTTTATCAAAGAAGTGAAAAAAGGTTAGTTAATTTTTGATAGATTTGCAGGACACTTTTATAATTCCGCTTTTATCTTACAAAGCTTTAATTATGTCACAAAAATTCTTGTATATCACTTCTTCACGTGATATATTATGACGCGAAAATAAATTAAATGGTTAATACCTACAGAATTTCCTACATTATAAATAAATCCTACCTTGTATAATTGATTCCAATATCAGTATAATAGAAAATAGACAAGAATGAAATGAAATGATTTACGTGGGTATCGGGACTTTTTCGCCAAAGTCCATTTCACCGAACCCATTTCGACGAAGCTATTTCGCCGAAGCAATTTCGCCGAAGGGAATTCGTTGAATTGCCATTACAAACATTTTACCAAACGACTATTTTGTCGAAGGAACATTTCGTCGAAGCCATTTATACCATCAATTTTTTTTTTCGTGTTTATAAATTGAAAGCAACGTAATTATGCTATAAATGAATGGAAATCGACGAAGGAATTTTTTTGTTTTTCCTTTTTCTTTTATACAAGATAAACGAATTATTTTACATTAGATTATTTGTGATTCGCGGAATTTATTAGATCGAAAAATAGTAAAAGGAAATATAATTTTTTCCCACATCATCTGTCATTCCAAGGAACCCCATATGGAAAATTTATTTTAAGTTTAAATAAAAATAACAAAATCATAATATTCCAAAACATAAAATAGTTTAAAGAGAATTTGTTCTTTGACCATTTTTTATTTTCTTTGTATCGAATTGTTAATGCACTTTCGGCGAAATATCCTTCGACAAAATTGACGATTCGGAAAAAGAACTCGACGAAATGTCCATTCGGCGAAATGTCCATGGTTTTGGTGAAACGTACTGTAACCATAATCGTGTACGCATTATCTAACGTGTTTTGTACTTCTGAACTAAATTTAAGTTTAATGTTTAACACTGCATAAAATATCCCCTTTTTAACGTACCCACTTTAAAAAATCCGGGTACACAGTTAATTTGGTAGAATTAAGCCGGTTTAGGATAAATTTGTCCAAAATTCATAAAAAGTAACCCATCACATATCCAATATAACATCTTCATTAATCATAGAGATCCCCTTCATATTCATTATCATAATTATGATCAGTCATTTTCATATTTTTCATATGATTCGCTACCATATATATCATTATTATGTCGAAAGTCAACTTGCAAGACTAATACAAGATCGACAACAAATCCAAAATCCTGACAAGTCCTTGTCGGTATAATGATTTGTCGGGATTTTGATTTGTCGGATTTTGACTTGTCAAGATTTTGTTGTCGGTCTTGTGTCAGTCATTCAAATGATTTTCGAGATTTCGTACCAAAACCCATTATATCACCATCTTCCGTCAGTCCAGGAGTAGTTGCGCCTTAATTTTGGCCATAAGTATTATCTCAATTTTTAAACCTGGTTTTTTATAAAAGACAGTATATTTTATGCTATTTAGAAATAATCATTAGCATATTATAAATTTATAATAAATTAATTAATTGGATTTATTGATCTAATAATATATGTAAATATCAGTTATTAATAAAGTTTTTTATATTTTATATTCAATTATCTTATTATCGGTTAGTAATCATGAAGATTTAATATACAATTGTTATTTGGTCGGTTATCTCATATTACTATATACTAGCATAATAATAAAATTATTGAATAATGGCGGGAATTTATTGTAAAAATTACATGAACGGTCCCGTCAAACCGATAGTAATAATATTTTTTTTATTTTTTTTTTTTTACGGCAAAGAGACTTCAAATTGAAGCAGCACGTTGTTTATTAAACTTTATTAAATTCTATATACTAATTATAAATAAGATAATAATATTATTGGATGATAAACCAAATAATAGACTACGCGCCCTATTAAATATAAGGCAATATATATAAAAAAATTTACTAAATTATCTTATTTATCGATTATCATATAATATATATCAGGACTTTACCATTCCGCGGGCTGTAGTGGCCTTTGAGTGAGACCTCGTACCTAATATGGTGGTATGGAAGGGTACTAGATGGTCGGTGTTACTTGACGAAACCTTTTAACTCTGGCCAAATTGTAATTTTTGGCCAAACTAAGAACAAGATAGATTTAATATAAAAAAAAATTTTATTTGTTATGTTATATCTTGCCGTGATGTTTACCATAAAGTAACTAAGAAATAACTGCAATCCTATCCCTATAAAAAAAATTCTGGAAAAAAACTCCGATAAATGAATATTTTTCTAGTTTTCATTGTTTTCATTCCGAACAAACTCAGATACGTGATCATTTTTCTGAGAAAATTTTTATAGAGTATTCGTAATGTTAATTCTTATCTGATAAGGTCTTTACTGACATCAAATTCTAACGGAAGGCAAAAGCTATCATTAAATTTAAGTCCAAATAACGTCAACAAAAGTACAATATAATTTACTGCGCATCAAAAATCCGATTGGAAAAAAAACAAGATTATTAATAAAATGTATATAACGGATTATATAACGTATTAAACGATAAGAACGCTTTCAGTTATTATGTATGACATGTAATTATATGTTACATATGCATGGGCTACGAAAAAAAATTTTTTTCTGTTTCAGAAAATAAAATTAGGTTAGGATTAGGGTTAGTACTAAGATTAGTATCCAATAATCCTAACTCTAACCTAATACTCACATAATATTAACTCTAACCTTAATCTTAACTCTAACCTCTTAACTCTAGCCTAATCCTAACCCTAAGCAACTCCTTAAATTACGCAAAAAATCCAATGCGAACTTAGCATTAGTATTGAACTTATTTTTTGTGTATCAATATTTTTTGCCTAATTTTACGACCCTTCACTTTCATACTGCACAACGAAATATTAGAAAGCTATAATAAACGGATTTCTTGGTTTTATCCAATGTATACACCGATGGATTTTTTTGTCCACCGGTATAAAAAAAAAAGTATAAAATCCATCGGTGTATGCCAGTATGCATCACACACATAGAAATCTAACTTCATATACACCGATGCTCCCTCCCCTTTGAGGGTTTTCCAACTTCTGAGGCATTGGTGAATATTTATTTTTCATTTTTCCGATCATTTCACTATATTTTCCCATGTTTCTTTTCCATTTCTTCGCAATATAAACCATCAACTATTCATTGATACATCGAATATACAGTAAATATTTATTACTTATTTACAGTACAAATCTATGTTAGCCAGAACCAATAATGGTTGGATGTTATACATTAGTTTTGTTTTTGGGGATAATAGATATAGTATATAGTAACTATATAAGATAAAGCATTGTGAAGAAAAAAAGAAGAAAGTAATCCTTAAAAGGGATTTGTCAATAAAAAAATCAAAAATAGTAAATAATATGATAAAGAGTTAGGGGTGAAATTCAAACAAGGAAGAAGTTACGATGATCATTGTCAGGAACTCACCGAATAAAATGATATATATATATTTTTTTTTACCCTTTTTTTTTTAAAAAAAAAAGGGTAAAAAAAAACTGAAGAGAATCCTGTAAAAACAAAAAAAACATAAACTAAATTCTTTTGACATGTGAAAAATTCATTCCAAAAGTGAAAATTTTATTGATCTTATTATATTTTTATTTATTTACTTATTAAAAAATATCAAATTATAATAAATATCTAAAAATATTTCGTTAGTTTATTTTAATTGGCAAGCAATTCAATCAAAATAATAACAATATTATTATTATTATTATTATTATTACTACTTTAAAAAAGTTATTTACACAAATATTACTTTTTTACAATTTCAATCAAAGAAGAGAAAACTTATATATCCTTATTGTACAACAAAAACATATGCTATATAAATTTTTCTATAAATAATAAATAAAAAATTTTCATTATAAAAATAAAATATAAATTGTCTATAATATATTTTACAATTCATTATTACTATTATCAAATGGCAAGAAATCTTCGGTTAATAAATCCTGCTGATTATCATGTTTACATAAATCAAAAATGAATTCAACAGGTATTCCAGTTAAAAAGAAACAACCATTTGCTTTATCATACATTTGATCGAATAATAAAGGAAATTTTGGTTTAATAAAAGTCCATTTAAATAAATTTAAATTCGAATTTAAAAATTCAGGATCAATTTTATATTGTTCATCATTAAATTCTTTGCATTTTAAATATTGTTGTTGTTGAATTTCTATTAATGATAATATTCTTGATTGTTCTTTAATATAATATTGAATTTGTTGATTTAATTGTTGATTATTAATATTTTGAATATAAGTTGTTGTTTTAATATTAAATGCATTATCCTTAATGTTATTGTTATTATTATATTGTTCGTAAGATAATAATTCATTTGAGGTCGTAATAGAAATTTGTTTTTGAACCAAAGGATTATTATATAAATGTGAGGATAAATCATTAGAATGTTCGTAATCTTGTTCCATTTTTACTAATGATATTTCTAAAGGACTGGTAGGTAAAGAAGGATTAGAATTTAAAGTAGGATAAGAAGTAGTTGGAGTAAGGATTGGAGATAAAGATGATGATGAACAAGAAGAAAATGAAGTATCACAAGATAAAGAAGATTCATAAGAAGCATATAAAAAGGGGGAAGTAGGAGGAGTCGAAATTTGATTTTGGGAACATAAATTGTGATTATCGAGAAGTGTAGCTTGAATTAATCCAAAATCCTTATTATTTTGAGTTTGGACCATACGAGAGTTGAAGTCATTAGGAAAATTTGAATCATATTCATTAGTCATTTTTTTTTTGTTTTATAAAAAAAAAAAGAAGAAAAGGAACTTTTTTTAAAAGAATACTTTTGTATATATATATATGTATATAATGTATTATACATACATACATATATATCTATATATATATAATTTTTTTTTTTAATGTATAAATAAATAAACAATAAATAATTATTATATTATTAAAAAAAAAAAAAAAAAACGACAAAATAAAATTTCTAGAGCTATGAAAGAAAGTAATCATTACTACATATGATCATTTTAGAAAACAATGCATGTATTATTATTTATCTTTATTTAGACGTAATAAACAAAAAAAAAAAAATTTTTTTGCATGGTTTAAAAAAAGCTTTCGTAGTACATTTTGTTCTAAAAATGTTTAGCATCATATTTCCCCTTTCTTTGGCTTTTTGTTTGTGTATTTTCTCTCCTTATTCACTATTGGAAATACTACGCCAAATAATGGAGTTAAGTAAATCCTTGCAGAATGTGAAAAAGTATTTTTGAAACATTATATTGTGAAAGGTTGATATAATTATTTTAGGATTTAAATGGATATTATTTGAATATTTATTTGAAACATATTATTTATAAATTTCAGCCGTTAATCCGTAAGTCATACCTGTTTTTCATCATTTATGCATTAATGTAAATTATAATAAATTTGGTGTTATGTGTGAAAATAATATTCATTTGTCCATTCAAAATGTCAAAATATCCTTTTGTAGATTATATATATCAATCATATATGGTATGAATGTATATTGGAAATTTCTAATTAACTTTAACCCATGAAATTAAATTAAATCCATACTAATCAAAACTTGATGATATTCAATGTTCATTATATGTATTATATGTGTATTCTATATATGCACACAATATTTTTCCTCGGAATTTAAATGTTGAACTTTTTTATCATTTTAACAATATTTATTATAAATTGTAATAATATTTGTCGATAAAGAAAGCGTGTATGAATTTGATTGGTTATCATTAACTTCATTAACTTTAATGACCGAGTGTAATACGAAATGTTTTGTTTATACTAAATTTGTAAAAATTGACATTTTTGTACAATGTTAAATTCATTACTGCGGATTCTTATTACGTTGAGGTTAAAAATGTAGATCTAGATGAGAGTTTTTGGAAACAATTAACAATTATTGTAAGTTTTGTAAAATGACAAAATGTGATCAAAAAAGGAATACAGGTTGATATTGATAAAAAAAATTTTCCGAAATTCATATTAACAAAATTGATCTTACACGTTAAATAATTAAAAAAAATAAGGTAACACGAAAATTGTCTTTTACTTTAAAAAATTAAAACTGTCTTTTCAATATATAAAATATATAATAAAAAAAAACAAAGAGATACCAAAAATGTCATTATTGTTATTACGAAACAAATCTAATCCCCGAATTCGAATTTTCATTCGGCTATTCAAAAAATTAGTAATCATTTAATCATTGAAATTTTTTGATATAAATATGGTTACAAATCAAAAGAAATGTATCTAAAAAAATAAAAATCATATCATACTCTAATATTTTTCTTGAATTTTTCTTTTTGAAAAAAAAAGAAAGATGGAAAATACCTTTATTACCATGTTACCTGATTATAAATCATCCACGAAAAGAAATTGTAGAAACTATCTTCACGAAGAAATCAATCAATCGGAATTTCTTCAAGTCATTAAGAATCCACCATGTGAATTATATTTAGAAGTTGATAATTTATTATCTTCCCCATCCGAATTAACAAAGCATAAATTTAAACCGCCACGAAGTCAAAATTCGTACATTTTATATCGACGTAATGAGTCAAAACGACGAAATCAGTTAGGATTACCAAATGATCTTAAAAGAGCATCCAAAGAAATTAGTGAAATGTGGCGCAACGAGCCTCCAAGAATTAAAAATTTTTTTCGAATCTTGGCAGCTGAAGGAGACAGGAGACATCGTTTAAAATTTCCCGATTATAAATTCGATCCGATAAGAAAAAACAGCAGTTTTAAAGTCAAATATAATCATGGAAATTTTGAAGTTAATAATAAAAGAAAATATCAAAAAAACGCGTTGATTAATCAATCTCAATCGAATATTGTATTTGTAAACGAAATCATCAAGCATAATGACTTGTGAATTAATTTATTTTAAAACGTAAAATAATAAATCATATAATTATATTACATGTTATTTATATCGAAACTATTTTTTCAGAAACCCGTAAGTCATAGAGAAAATGTTATATTGCTAGGAATTGACTGAGATTTAGAACAAATTATTACAATCACTATAATCATTACTGTATATCATTTACTATATTAAATAAATAAATAAATAAATTTTAATAATTTTAATACAAATATCAATGAAGGATATTTTTAGTATTTTAATAAAGTCATAGGATAAAAGTACCTCAGGTGCACTGCACTTATGATTATCCAGGGTCCTAGTTATTGTCAGTATTTGCCGCGCAAAATGTGACTGTTTCGTACTGTACAATAGAAAATGGCGTTTTAACGTAAATTTCCAAAATAAATAGTAAGAATAAGTGATAACAACCTTAACTAAACTCCGTAACAAACATTGTTTACAGTTTTTGTCATTCATATTTATTTAGTCTTGTCCCCCATTTTTAGTTTAATATATCATCTCTTTGATATTATTTGCTCCGGCTGCCTTATTTTATATTTTAGATCTTTTCCCCCAATTTCAATTGTGTTCCAGATTACTAATATTTGTTCGGAATTCGGATTTGGATGAAACGTTTCATATTTTAAATTTTTTGATAATAAGTTCGCCCGAAACACCAAACGCCAAACTTAGATTATAAAAGAAAAACTTTGATTACGAAAGAAAGTCTAGAGATGGATGGTAGTAGAAAATGTTGTACAATATACATGAAACATATTTTCCAAAAAAGGATATAATGATGAGGCCCAAAATAGTTTTCTAATACGTATAAAATATTAAAGGTTTAAAGTATAACAATTACAAACCAAAGAATTGTTTTAACGTTAGAAATGACAAACGTACCGAAACATGTTTAAGATTTCGGATTTTTCCGTCTCAATTATTCAATAGGGTTGAAATTACCCTTTTCATAATTTCCAGAGTAACATAAATAAAACAATCTTCATCAAATCTAATCTCTCCTTATCTTTTTTTTTCTTCGATTTTTTTACCTGTTCATTTTTGAAACTGGTTTGAAACCGTAAGTAAAATATTTTAATAGTATTTTTCTAATTTAATAAATAAAATTTCATTTATTACAATATAAAGATCGACTACTTATTTATTAGGGTATTGCTAAAGCTCACCAGTGGTGATGGTCACCAATACCAGCATTATGATGTACTTTTGGCCAGAATTAAAAATCTAATAAAATACTGGCCGGCATTACATCATAAATTCACCACTGGTGACCGGCACCGCCGGTGATATTTAGTAATACCATATTTATTATTATTCAGATTAATATGAATAGCAAAATTTAATAGAATTATCTATTGAACGGTTGACTAATTGACTAATTCAAATTACTGTAAATATAACTAATATTTCGTGGATCCCGTGATGGATTTATAGCTAGTAATGCACTATAATAGTCGTCAAAGTAAAAGATAGTAATGAAAGTCTTGAAGGATATAATCCAATTATTGCATGGAAAGTTGGTAAATATATATAATTCCACTAAAGATAGTTTTCGAGAATAATAATAAAATTGGAAATCCTATTGTTTAAATCGTGTGATTGATTAAAAACACGATTTGGTAATGGTGACCTTTATTTATTAAGTAACAACATATATAATAATAGCGTTTAGAGTAAAAATTCCTATGCTAAATTGATTAGAAAAACCGAAAATGAATTTTTTGCGGAAAATTTAGGATTTGTGATATTCCAGATAAATTACTAAAATAAACTGGAGTCACGTTATCAATGATTTTAACCTTTTATATATAAAGTTTGATCATTCACACCATTTACACATGAATTCTTTTTTCTCATTTCTTTTAATAGAATAAAAATGAATAATAATAGTCTTTTGCCAAAATTATCTCAAAATTTACTCGAAATATTAAATGATGAAGAATATTATGATGTTACAATTGAAGTTGGTAATGACCCTTACGTAAAAACATATCGTGCGCATATGGTCATTTTATATTATCGTTCTCCTTATTTGAAAAGAATTTTATCAACTCATAAAAAGAAAAATGATGGAACTTTAGAACATATTAAATTACCAGAAATTTTACCGGAAATTTTTCAAATAATTTTAAGGTAAATTTATGTTGTAAATTTAAATATTAATTAATTTTTATTTTTTATAAACATTTTTTTTTATTATTATTATTTTTAGGTATATTTATGGTGGGAGACTTCCTTTGGAAGAATATGATATCTCAGATATCATTAAAATCTTGGATGCTGCTAATAAACTTAGTCTTCAGGAATTAATCAACTATTTACAATTTTATTTGATTGAAAAAAAAGCAAAATGGATCGAACAAAATTTTGTTCTGATATATCAATCAAGTTTTGAAAATAATTCTTTCTTAGAACTTCAAAAATATTGTAAAAATTTAATTTCCAGAGAACCTGATAAAATATTTAAATCACTAAATTTCTCCTCAATTCCAGAAAAACTTTTGGTTTCAATAATTCAAAGTGATAATCTTCAAATGAGTGAAGTTCAAGTTTGGGAACATGTTCTTAAATGGGGATTTGCTCAAAATCCAGAACTTCCCTCTGATGTCAACAATTATTCAGATGATGATTTTAATATTTTAAAGAATACTTTAAAACAATGTATTCCATTTATTAAATTTTACAATTTAACTTCTAAAGAATTTATAGATAAAGTATTACCTTATGAACAAATTCTGCCAAAAGATTTATATAAGGGTTTAATGAAATCCTTTTTAAGCCTTTTGGATCCTAATAGCAAACTGAAGAAACCTCATGTGACCAAAGAAATTAATTTAAGAATTACTGATTCAAAAATTATTACATATCAACACGCTGAATTGATCTTGAAATGGATCGGTAAATTAGAAATTACTGACGAGCTAACTTCATCATATGAATTAAGATTATTATTTCGTGGATCTCGTGATGGACTTGCACCTGATAAATTTCATAAAATTTGTGATGGTCATTCTTGTACTATAACAGTTGTTAAAGTAATAGATAGTAATGAAATTCTTGGAGGATATAATCCGATTGCATGGAAATCTGATTATAGTTATAGTGCCACTAAAGATAGTTTTATTTTCTCTTTTGAGAATAGTAACCATGTTTTAAGTCGTGTGATTAATGAAAGATATGCTATATATAACAACCTTTTTGGTGGACCATCATTTGGCGGTGGTGACCTTGATTTATTGAGATTTACTTCAAGATCTGGTAATAGTATTAGCAAGAAAATTTTTTATGATAAACCGATTAGAAAAACCACAAATAAATTTTTCGTAGAAGAATTTGAAGTATTTCAAATTATTAAAATTTAGGTTATATTGGTTATATTCTAACAATTTATTTATTTATTTATTAAAAAAAAAATTATTACGTCATTAATTTTTTTTACGATCTCCTGATATAATTACTAAATAAATTCGAGTCACGTTATCCATACTTTTTGTATATAAAATTTGTCCATTCACTATTTACTTCACTATTTAAGATAAATTTCTTTCTTCTCCCAAATTGTAAAAAATTTCTATTACTAAATAAATGGATGATAATAGTCTTTTGCCAAAATTATCTCAAAATTTACTCGAAATATTAAATGATGAAGAATATTATGATGTTACAATTGAAGTTGGTAATGACCCTTACGTAAAAACATATCGTGCACATATGGTCGTTTTATATTATCGTTCCCCTTATCTGAAAAGAATTTTGTCAACCAATAAAAAGAAAAATGACGAAATTTTGGTACATATTAAATTACCAGAAATTTTACCAGAAATTTTTGAAATAATTTTAAGGTAAATTAAATTAAAATTTTTAATAATTATAATATATATAATATGTTTTACAACTCTTTTTTTTTTAGGTACATTTATGGAGGAAAAGTCTCTCTGGAAGAATTTGATATTTCAGCTATCATTAAAATCCTAGATGCTGCTAGTAAACTTAGTCTTCAGGAATTAATTAATTATTTACAATCTTATTTAATTAAAATAAAAGCGAATTGGATTGAACAAAATTTTAATATGGTATATCAAGCAAGTTTTGAAAATAATTCTTTCTTAGAACTTCAGAAATATTGTACAAAATTAATTTCTGATGAACCAGATAAAATATTTCAATCATTAAATTTCTCTTCAATTCCAGAAAAACTTTTGGCTTTAATAATTCAAAATGATAATCTTCAAATGAGTGAAGTTCAAATTTGGGAACACGTTCTTAAATGGGGATTTGCTCAAAATCCAGAGCTTTCCTCTGATCCTACAAGTTTTTCAGTGGAGGATTTTAATACTTTAAAAAATACTTTACAACAACTTATTCCATTTATTAGATTTTATAATTTAACTTCAAAAGAATTTTCAGATAAAGTATTTCCTTATATGAAAATTTTACCTGAAGATTTATGTTTAGACTTACTAAAAACCTTTTTGAATCTTTCCGATCCTAATAGCAAGCCAAGTGATAAGTCAAAACCTCGTATAAACAAAAAAATTAATTTAAGAAATATTGATATTGATTCAACAATTATTACACACGAACATGCTGAATTAATCTCAAAATGGATTGAGAAATTAGAAATTACTGATCAATTAACTTCTTCATTTGAATTCAAATTATTATTTCGCGGATCTCGTGATGGATTCACACCTAAAAAATTTCATGAATTTTGTGATGGACAATCTCACACTATAACAGTTGCTAAAGTAAGAGACAGTAATGAAATTCTTGGAGGATATAATCCAGTTGCATGGAAATCTGCTGATTATAGCTATAATACCACTAAAGATAGTTTTATTTTTTCCTTTGAGAGTAATAATAGAATAAACAATTACATTTTAAGTCATGTGATTAAGGGAGAATCTGCTATATACAATGACAGTAAATTTGGTCCATCATTTGGCGGTGGTGATCTTTATTTATTGAATTCTTCTACGAAATCTGGTAATAGCATTTGTGTAAAATACTCTTACGATAAATCGATTAGAAAAACCGCAAATTCATTTTCTATAGAAGAACTTGAAGTGTTTCAAATTATTAAAAATTAAGCACCAACAGATAGAATATCAATTTATTCGCAAGAATCTTGCGTATATTTATTACGTTATCTATTATAAAAAGGGTAAAAAAGCTTTTTATTTCGATATTCTAAATAAATTGTGGCTTTAAATTTTTTTTTTTTTATCAAATTATAAGTTCTGATTATTATTAAATAAGTAAATATGGATAATTTTTTTGCCAAAATTATCTCGAAATTTCTCGAAACTCTAAATGATGAAGAATACTCACGTGAAAATATTTCGTGTTATCTTATATTATCGTTCTCCTCATTCTCATTTGAAAAGAATTTTATCACTAATAAAAAGAAAAATGATGAATTTTGGCACATATTAAATTACCAGAAATTTTACCAAATAATTTAATGTAAATTAAGCTTTATAACAGTTGTTAAACTAATAGATAGTAATGAAATAGTAATGAAATTTTTGGAAGGATATAATCCGATTGCATGGGAAATCTGATTATAGCTATAGTGCCACTAAAGATAGTTTTATTTTCTCTTTTTGAAAATAGTAACTTTGTTTAAGTCGCGCGATTAATGAAAGATATGCTATATATAATAACCTTTTTGGTTTACTTCAAGATCTGGTAATAGCATTAGCAAGAAAAATTTTTATTAGAAAAACCACAAATAAATTTTTCGTAGAAGAATTTGAAGTATTTCAAATTATTAAAACTTAGGTTATATTCTAACAGTTAACGCCTCGTTTGCAGGTATAATTTATTAAAAAAAGATTTATTACGTCATTAATTTTTTTTACGATCTCCTGATATAATTACTAAATAAATTCGAGTCACGTTATCTATACTTTTTGTATATAAAATTTGTCCCATTCACTCACTATTTAAGATAAATTTCTTTCTATTTACCAAATTGTAAAAATTCCTATTACTAAATAAATGGATGATAATAGTCTTTTGCCAAAATTATCTCAAAATTTACTCGAAATATTAAATGATGATGAATATTATGATGCTACAATTGAAGTTGGTAATGACCCTTACGTAAAAACATATCGTGCGCATATGGTCGTTTTATATTATCGTTCCTCTTATCTGAAAAGAATATTGTCAACCAATAAAAAGAAAAATGACGAAATTTTGGTACATATTAAATTACCAGAAATTTTACCAGAAATTTTTGAAATAATTTTAAGGTAAATTAAATTAAAATTTTTTATAATTATAATATATATATTATGATTTTACAACTCTTTTTTTTTAGGTACATTTATGGAGGAAGAGTGTCTTTGGAAGAATATGATATTTCAGCTATCATTAAAATCCTAGATGCTGCTAGTAAACTTAGTCTTCAGGAATTAATTAATTATTTACAATCTTATTTAATTAAAATAAAAGCGAATTGGATTGAACAAAATTTTAATATGGTATATCAAGCAAGTTTTGAAAATAATTCTTTCTTAGAACTTCAGAAATATTGTACAAAATTGATTTCTGATGAACCAGATAAAATATTTCAATCATTAAATTTCTCTTCAATTCCAGAAAAACTTTTGGCCTCAATAATTCAAAATGATAATCTTCAAATGAGTGAAGTTCAAGTTTGGGAACACGTTCTTAAATGGGGAATTGCTCAAAATCCAGAACTTTCCTCTGATCCTACAAGTTTTTCAGTGGAGGATTTTAATACTTTAAAAAATACTTTACAACAACTTATTCCATTTATTAGATTTTATAATTTAACTTCAAAAGAATTTTCCGATAAAGTATTACCTTATATGAAAATTTTACCTGATGATTTATGTATGGACTTATTAAAAACCTTTTTGAATCTTTTGGATCCTAATAGCAAGCCAAGTGATAAGTCAAAACCTCGTATAAACAAAAAAATTAATTTAAGAAATATTGATATTAATTCAACAATTATTACACACGAACATGCTGAATTAATCTCAAAATGGATTGAGAAATTAGAAATTACTGATCAATTAACTTCTTCATTTAAATTCAAATTATTATTTCGCGGATCTCGTGATGGATTCACACCTAAAAAATTTCATGAATTTTGTGATGAACAATCTCGTACTATAACAGTTGCTAAAGTAAGAGACAGTAATGAAATTCTTGGAGGATATAATCCAGTTGCATGGAAATCTGCTGCTATTCATAGATCTAGTACCACTAAAGATAGTTTTATTTTCTCTTTTGAGAGTAATAATAGAATAAACAATTATATTTTAAGTCATGTAATTAATGGAGAATCTGCTATATATAATAACAGTGTTTGTGGACCATTATTTGGCTGTGGTGATCTTTATTTATTGACGAAACCCGGTGATAGCGTTTGTAAAAAAGGCTCTTACGACAAATCGATTAGAAAAACCGAAAATCGATTTTTTATAGAAGAACTTGAAGTATTTCAAATTATTAAAACTTAAGCACCAACAGATAGAATATCAATTTATTCGCAAGAATCTTGCGTATATTTATTACGATATCTATTGTAAAAAGCGATATTCTAAATAAATTTGTAATTTTAAATTTTTTTTATCAAATTATAAAGTTCTGATTATTATTAAATAAGTAAATATGGATAATTTTTTTGCCAAAATTATCTCGAAATTTCTCGAAACTTTAAATGATGAAGAATATTATGATATTACGATTGAAGTTGGTAATGATCCTCACGTGAAAATATTTCGTGTTATCTTATATTATCGTTCTCCTCGTTCTCATTTGAAAAGAATTTTATCACTAATAGAAAGAAAAATGATGAAATTTTGAGTAAATTTTGGCACATTAAATTACTAAATTAAAAAATATAAATATATTTATTAGTTTTTTTTTACAACCCATTTATTTTTAAGTACATTATGGAGGAAGCCTTTCTTTTGAAGAATATGATATCCCAGATATCATAAAAATCTTGGATACTGTTAATAAATTTTGTCTTCAAGAATTAGTCAACTCTTTACATTTTTATTTGATCGAAAAAAAAAAGCAAATTGGATTGAACAAAATTTATTCTGATATATCAAGCAAGTTTGAAAATAATACTTTCTTGAAACTTCAAAAATATTGCACAAATTTAATTTCTGATGAGCCAGATAAAATATTCAAATTATTAAATTTTCCTCAATTTCTGAAAAGCTTTTGTCTTCACTTATTCAAAATATAATCTTCAAATGAGTGAATTTCAAGATGACTTGTTCGTTGTAAACTTTACAAGAACAGTTTTTGCAATAATATCCTCAATTTGGTAGATAGTATCTGTTGATTTAACCTCTAAAGCAATGGTTTTGATTCTGTTAACGTTAAGAACTTCAATAAATAATTGCACTTTGTCTCATAAAAGAGTATTAGAACACAAATGTTATAGAATTACAAAGAGTCTCAAATTAATTTATAGGATAATGCGTTCTTAAAATCTGACTTTTATTTGTAACATCGTAATCATTTCATCTGCAATGCGAATTAAATGAATATACAAAATTATCATAATATTGTACTAAATGAAATATACCAGAAAAATATCATCAAATTTGATAGACTCTTTATTACGAAAGAAAATAAAAAAAATACTTTTAGAACGTTTATTTTAGGTATGGTATATCTTGGATTTACGTGTAAGATTTAGTCTTTGAGAATTTTTTTAATTAAAAACAAAAGAAGAACAAATTTTATTTTGATATACCGAAAATGACTCTTACTCGTCGGTAACCTTCAAATGAATGAAATCTAAATTTAAGAAAAATAAATATGGAGACCTGCGAACTTCCTTCTTTTGATCCTACAAGATAGATGATTTAACAGCAATAACAGCAATATGTCACATTTTTGATAAAATTTCTTAATGCTAGAAGGCCTAGCAACTTAGTTTTTTGTTATAGTTTTATTTTTGCACATTGTTATCTAATATTACTATAAGCGTATACGTACTAGTTAAAATGATTATTCATTATTGAGTTTCTTTCTTATTCATCCGCACGACTTATCAAGATTGCTCATTTTTAATAATGTAACAATTGTAACATATCAGCTGTTCAATGGATATCATTAGATACTTGTATTATCCTACCCGGTAACTTAATCACCAAGTAGTATTCAAAAAAATCATTTATATTTTAATACTTTAAAATTACTTTTAATATATTAATCATAGATCAATAATTTAAATATTCAGTAAGTACTATGTATTTAAATCCGTCGGCCGAAACGAAATAGAATAAAAAAAAACATTATTATATAATTATAATACAGAAGTAAATGTTTCAATAAATATGAATGACGGACAACATTATACATTTATATCATTCAATAAACCGGTTTCTCATCTGGACGCAAAAAAATAAATACGATTAAATCAATATAGATTTTTTTTTAATTATCAAAAATTTTAGAATATATTATCAACCATTATCATACAGAGCAATATTAAATAACCCACTATCAATGAATGCATAATACAAACTATTCTGTGAATCCGGAAACGGGAGGTTGTCCAAGACTCTGAGAAAGAGTGCTTAGTATGGCGCATGTATTGGGAGGTAAGAGTATATTCTTATTCTTATTCTTGATTTCCCAAGCGGCTTTTACGAGTCTAGTTGCTGGTCCCCATTTTAACCCACAACGTCGATAATCTTCTATTGTAAAACTAATAAAGTCCAAACCCCAAATTTTTTCTTTATCAAGAATCTCTAAGTCACTCTCGTCAAGCAAGTCTATATCTCGTAAAAACTTTATAAGCTTGTCCGTTTTTATCCTGCAGAATAGTTCAAGCCACCATGAGCCCATATTCGACTTGATTCGGTTCAGATTAGCACAAGATTTTTTTCTTTTTTCTTTTTTGTTTGCAACTGAAACAATCAAAATTTTGCTGCACAGGATGATCATAAAACTAAGAACAACTTTCCTTATTCAGTCATGATCATCACGATTGAGCTAAGCCACTATTTCGATATTTTGAAATCTCCAAATGCAACAAAACAGGCATATGTTATTGGTATGTGAACTTTTATTAAAATATATTTAAACATTTTATTTTTGATTAAATAGCAGATCATGATCCCGTTTTAAGGATACATGTCGCGAAACCATCATTATCCCTATAGTTTGCCCACCCAATTTTCTATCAGATAAAACTAGTCTTTTTCTGCTAATAAAAATTTCATAATCAAAACAAATGCACAGTAATAAAAAAAAGAAAAACTTAAAGGATACAAACTAGCTAGTTTGGAAAAAGAAATAGATTTGCGTCATCTACCAACGGCGTATGGCATATCACGTCTGCCACAGTTAGGATTATGTGATAATTGTAGACTTCAAATGAATAAAAACATGGTGTGGTGCTTGCTTGCGGCCATGGTTACCATCCAGTTTGTTATAGCATATATTGCGAGAATTTTTATAAGAATGGTATTTTTGAAAATGTAAATTCTTTTTAAAAAGAATAGAAAAAGGAGCAGATTTACTTACAAATGATGATCTAGATGATAGCGAGAAGGAATATCAGACGAGACAATAAATGAACAAGCAGATGTATCTGCCATGTTAGCAACAGCAATCAGTGATATAAATTATTGGTAATAAATGTACTGTACAGTATAATACAATGATAATAATTATTGGTTTCTTCAAGTATTAATTGTACGCGTAGTAAACCAAAGTCATGTCTAGAGACAGTTTGCTTATTAAGTTAGTGAGGTATTTAAAGAATATAGTACTGATAAAATTACTGTATAAATAGCCTGTGTAACATTAGATCGTGTTTTTTTTTAACATTACTTATATGACGACTTAACGTGATAAAAATAATGTAAAAATTAGGATATTTTTAACGAACAAATAATATGTCCCATATATGTAGAATACCAGATTAACATTGATGAAGAAAATAATAATAATACATAAAACAATTATCGTCAGAAAAGAACTCTATATTTTACATCTCAAAGAAATGATATGGAACATCGAAAAGAATTCTTCGACTTATATAAACATAATAGCTTTAAGGATCTGACATGAAAGGTTTATAAATCTTCGCGAGAAAGCTAATGAGTGGGAATCACTTAAAGAACTTGCAAAGACTTATACAGAAACTGACATAAAAGAGCTTCGGAGGTAAAAATTATTATCGACTGGTAAAATCTCAAAGGAGTTTCATGCAACTGCCCATCACCAGTAAGTGTCTCTCAATGGTTTACCTCTCGAACAAGAAATTCGCGTTAACTTATATTTTTTTTTTTTTATCTAATGAAGGAAAGGAAAGATGGACGAGACTAGAAGCCAAGGCAAAAAGATGGGAAACGAGAGTATCCAAAATAATCAAATGATGGTCGTGACAGTCTAATGGTTATATCGACTGGCGGGAAGGAAATTTTCATTAGTTACGTGGAAAAGAACCGTACTGGCATTTTGTGCAGCCCCCCTTCGTCAGGAAAGAATACTCTTGGCGAGTATTTCCGAGATTATCATAATGATATTTATATTATTCTTGCCGGTATGATATGTGAAGGTGAAGAGACCAAGAGAAATGAGTTTGATGCTTTCTGGATGTGTAAAGTTAGTTGTACTTGGAGTGACATTAGTAATTGTACACCTGTTTGTTGATGAGATATGGTAATCATGCTCGATACTTTTGGCAGAAGGTGAAGATTTTTAGTCAAATACTGGATGTAATGATACTTTTCCTTGGTATGTACCATCCAACACTTGTTGATAATCCAACACCTGCAGAATTTGCTCATGCTCTTGGCCTGAATGATACACTTGTCATGAACTTCGTTCAGAAATGTAATATGCAAAGGTTATAAACGTGATCTTTAATATTACTAACGGGTATCCTGGATTATTTTGAGATGGTTACGTGATCATGCAAGAACTACGTCAACGGCGGAAATTTTACAGTCTCTCGCCTAATCAAGTTTACGAAGTAGTATAGCAACAACTTCTCGTGCTGTTCATTGGACTGAGAACTGGAATCCAAGTAAAGGTGAAACCAAGTAATATGCTATTTATTTGTCGAGATAATGATTTCACCATGATGATGTTGATCCAAATTTTGATATCGCAAAAAGATTTATAAAGTCAGGTGCCTTTGCAAGGATTCCACTAATGGAAAAATAAAATTTTCTGCACCCATCACACGAATTATTCTAAGCCATCATCTCTATACCTCCTCTCTTGCAAAATCACCTAAAATAAATTTTAGAGACTTTTTAGTACGAACTATTGAACGCCTTCCATCTAAATTAATCAATTCACTTGGGAAAGGGATTGATTCATACTTATTCAAAAGAGGCTGGCAGATGGAGTGGTATCGTACTGCAACAACTGTAGTACCAATAGATGCAACAGTTAATGCAGATTGTGGGCACAGTGTTTGGCTCATCAGAATTTCTAGATTCTTACATTAATGGAAATTATTACGAGAGAGTAATAAGTGCAGGAACATGCAAACTGATTCGGAGAATATCCTGACATTCTGCTAAAGAAATGGGTTATTCTAGACTTAGATGCTATGAAAAAGAAGTAAGAACACCTAAACAAAACTTCTGGCATGTGTGCTACTCAGGTGACTGTAAAAGTGTTACTATCAAACGTCGTGATCAGGCTGACTAAACTCTGTTATTGCAAGGTGATAATGTATAAACATGCAGAAACTTTATAATTAATTTAGAAAATATTAAAAATTTATTTAAACAAAGGATGATTTTATGCAAAAAAATCAAAATTTTGCTACACAGAATACACGAAATTATAATGAGGTGAGAGTCATCTGAACTGATGAAGAAACTGAATATTTAATAGAACAAAGAATGAGTAATTTTGGGAGTCAAGCAATGTAGTTTTGGGTTCCGAATTAATTCTTGATTATATTTCTCCCTATGATAATTAGTTATCATAACCAAAAGTATTTGAAAATCAAGTTTAAAGGTTACTTATCTCTATTTTATAGTTATTTATTTTTTCTTTTTTACTCCCTCAAATTAGTTTTTTTGCAAAGTATGACAATAAAAATTAAAAATTAATGTTTTGGAACAAAATTTACTATAAATCAAAACAAAATGGAAAAGAATATATAACTTTTATAAAACATTAATAATATTTTATAATTTAAAAATCATAAGACGCACTACTTTCCTTATTCAGTCATAATCATCCCGATTAAAAATATTATTATTGAATTTCTTTCTTATTCCATCCGCAAGACTTAACAAGTACATTTTGCTATACTCATTTTTAATAATGTACTTAACAATTCGTTCAATAATATCATAGGTACAGTATTTGAAAATTACAAATAACTTATTAGATAATTATTCAGTAAGTAGTATTTATGCATAGAATAAAATTTATAATGTAAAAATAAAATTTAATATTCAATATAATAATATGAATAATGGAAGAGATTATTGTATCATTCGATAAAACAGGTATTCTATTAATATAATCCTTAGTTTTTTTAAAATATTATCATATTATTTAAATATATTTAAATCATCACATTATCACATTATTTATTATACAAAAATAATAAAAAAACGAATAAACTATTCTGTAACAGGAGGTAGATCAAGACTCTTGGAAAGAGTGCTTAATACGGTACGTGTATTGGGTGGTAACAAATTCCAATTCTTGCACCTGATTTCCCAAGCGGCTCTTATAAGTCTTATTGCTGGTCCCCATTTCAACCCACAAAGATGAAAATCTTGTCTTGAAAAGCTTATAAAATCCAATCCGTTAATCTTTTCGATGATAAGAATCTGTAAGTCACTTTCGTCAAGCAAGTTTATGTCGCGTAGAAACTTGATAAGCACTTCAGTATTTACTATGTTGAACAGTTCAGACCACCACTCGGTCATGTTTGATTTGCTTGGTTCGGATTGGGCAAGATTTTTTTTTTTGTAAATTAGAGAAATCAAAAATTTTTGCTACCTAGTCATAAGACCAGGCCAACTTTCCCAATTCGGCCATGATTTTTTTAGCCGCTAAGCCACCAATTTCTAAACATTCTAATTGAAATAAAATATTTCGTTTCGTGTTCATAATAAATTAGCCATCTGTTAAACATCTTTCAGTCTTTCACGAATATTCGTGATAAGAAGTCTCCCACGATAAACAAAATTATTAAAATTATTCAAATTTAACGTAAATGTTAATAGGACTAATAGGACTACTGTAATTATTTGTAGTGAGAAAATGTATTAATTTTATAATTTATTGTCATTATTGAAATGAAAGACACAATTGGGTGGAAATCTTCAAGATTGTTTAAACAATTGGAAAGAAGGGAAAAAATCTTTATTTTTTGTTGAACTAAAAAAAGGAGGTTTCTTGACAAAAATTTATTATGCTAACAAATTTTTCTTTAGATATAATAAAAGTTATATCAAGTGATAGAACGAAATACAATATTATTCTTCACAGAAATTTTAATATATATGAGCAAATATAATCATAACATATAAAAACGCATAATTTTTTTTTTTTTTTGCTTTTTTGCATGTAATGTACAGTACACGTTAATTTATTTTGTAAAAATGTTAAAAAATAAATATATGTTTATTTATTTATTTATATATTTTCGTACTCATAAAAAATATTTCATGAAGAACTACATGAAAAAAAATAAACAAAGAAAAAAATAAAATAAAATAAAATAAAATAAAATATTTAAAACATTATGTTAAAAAAGAAGATCCAGAGCACGAAAGTATTGGTATTTTTGTTCGCAATTTATTTGCCGCATCCGCAGTTTCCGGAGCAATCCGTGCAAGTGCATGTGCTATATTAATAATTTACGAAAATAACTTAAATATATATATAAAAGACACAAATGAATAAAAAAAAAATATATATATATATAATATTTACGTGGATCCGCAGGTTTTGCAAGGGTCAGTGCTAGTCATTTTGTTATTATTAATTTTTTAGATAGAAGTATTTGAGAAGGTTTGATTTTTTTTTTTCTTTAACGTTTCAGTTGTATGTAATTTGAGAATGTCAGATAGGTGAAAATAGGGTATATTTATATTGTTTTTTTCGATTGATTGAAATAAATTTTTTCCGAATAATCGGAGGAAAAAATCTTGCTTAAATAATCGGCAAAAATAGCTCAATTCTATATTTGGATTAGCAAAAATGCCTCAAATATTTGAGTAACCGGCGAAAATAACGCATCAAGTCATTATCCTGTTAATCAATTATTGTGATAAAGATAAGAATTTTGAATGACCACATAAAGAGAGGTATTAATTTCATTTGTCCATTATTGTAACCCAAGAGGCTTATCAATCAAAACATTTAAATGAATGACCAAATGGTTTGTCGATTAAACCGGATGATTTACATTATCTCAATATCGAACGTATTTGATAGAATGATAAGTAATTTACACTAAAAATTTTTTCTCATGCTTTCTTTCTTACATTAAAGTTCCTACCCCTTAAACTTAAAATTTTCATTCCTCCACCATTTCTACATTAAAACTTTTATTACCTATTCTCAAAAAGAAAATCATTAAAACAAGTTAGATGTACTAGTGACCCGTTCTTATAAAAAAAAAAAAAAGGAAAAAGAATGGTTAGTACCGTTCATAGAAAAAGGAACCAATCATCACAGTTATCACAAGTCGTTAGAAAGCCGGGCTGTATGCTTAGGGATGGGGAAAGTTCGCGGTTGAGTGGTTCGAGTTGGTTCGTTCCTGTTCGGTTCAGTACTTTCGGGTTCTGATAAAATTTTGATATGAACTAGACCGAACTAACCAAATCGTATTATAGAACCATTATGAAATCGAAACCAGTTCATTCAATCTGAACAAGCTCAAGTCGATCCATCACAATAGTATCGGTTCAGGACCGGAGCGGCCGGTTCCCATCACTACAGTGAATGCTAGAAAAAAAAAGAATCTAATCTAGGAGGAACACAAGTTCAGTTGAAAGAGCCAAGTCCGAATGTTAATAAAAAGAAAAAGGAATGGTTAAATACCGTTCCTAATAAGAAAGAGGGCTTTGAAATTTGCCTCATAGAGGCTAATCATAAAAAAGAAGAAAAGTACCTCTGCTATAAAGGCAAATTATGTATATTTGTCTTTTAAAAATTTTTCTGATTAAAATTGAGGCACCTCATAACGGTGAAGATTTGGTGCGATCTGAGGTACACAGGCGAACGCGATAAATCGGATTGATTTAGAGAAATAACCGGTATAGTAAGATATCCGATATATCAAAAAATCTTCTTATACCGGATTTATATGAAAATTATGTTAGGATCCGATGTATCAAGATACAGAAAAATAAAGCTATTCCCAAACTTTGATTAAAATATTAAAATTAAAAAAGAATGGTAAAATTGTATGCGAATTTTGGTATAAAATGATTAATTTTAATTCTGGTCAAAATTGACCATTTCAGCTGGAGTTGAACATTTTTTAAATTTACAATAATATAAAAGTATGCTAAAAAAGGATATCCATGTAAATACAAATCAAAATACTTACATCAAATAAATTATTAATTTCTTCGTGAGTAGCACTTAAATTTCCGATTATGTAATTTCAATCGGGTAGTCCTATTTTGTAAAATTTCTCGAGTATCTTTGATAGCTATTTTCGATTCCTCACTTAAAGTTTGATTGTATAATACTGCATTTCAAATTTCTTCATTGTTCCCAAATTTTTAAAAACTTGCTCAGAGTCAGAACTCATATCACTTCTCTTTAAAGCTATATAATTGACATCATACGTTTTGCATGAATGATATGGTGCTGTTCGAACTGTTACTAGAAAATCAAAATCTCCTTCCAAAAACAAACAAATCGTTGCAAGTTGAACAGAACCAAATGTAGTTCGATGGTATGGTCAGCACGACAGCACCACCATCAGTATAAATATCTAGCATTTCGGGCAAAATAGTATATTTTTCACGAAACACTTTAGCCATTCAGCGGAATGCCTAAGTGCTAAGCTAGATTGAAAAACAGAGTCCTTATAGGTTACATATACTTGTCCTTGATAGAAACTTTCGCTGATATCTTTAGGAATATTACATAATAATGAAACCCGTAAAATCGGGATCACATGATGTTAACTCCATATCAGTAAATTCCAATGTAGCTTTATTGCGAACTCCTGTTGATATTTCAACTGTTTCTCCGATTGGAACCTTATGTTTGTCATCTGCAGATATAAAGCAGGTAAAATTTCGAGATTTGATAGCAAAAAGACTTGTATAATGAAACAATGCAGCACAATAATGTGCATCAGGATGAGATTTTCGGAGAAGTCTANAACAATGCAGCACAATAATGTGCATCAGGATGAGATTTTCGGAGAAGTCTACTTTGTACTTTGTAAGAAATGTTAAATCGACCAGAATATTGTATAGCAGTTTTTGTATAGATGTTTTTCGGCCAAAATTGGAGTCTAATCCACTCACTGCTTGGAACCGAAATTGTTGAAAATTTTTCTTCATCATGCTTAGCTTTTAGGCGTTTCACGTAGTTCTTGAATTGATATTGCAACTGGCGTATACAAATTTGTTGATCATGTACTGCTAAAACAATCTTTCAAATAAAATCAAAATATTCATATTAATACTTTTAATATTAAATTGGAACATTAATTAAATTACTTAATTCATTAAAATATGCAAATAAATTTAGTAGTTTTTTTAATATCATAATAGAACTATGATGTGAATTCGGTAACAGAAGGTTGTCCAAAGACTCTGAACAAGAATGTTTAGTACGGTGCATATATTGGGTAATGACATTTTCAATTAATTTTGCAAGTCTTGTAAAATTAATAAAGTCCAACCCGCAAACGTTTTCTTTGTTAAGAGCTTGTAAGTCACTCTCGTCAGGCAGGCCCGCATCTCGCAAAAAACTGATAAATTTGCGGTTTTATCCTGTTAGTAATCACGAGCCTATGTTCGATTTGCACAGGATTTTTATTTTCTTTACAAAAGAAATTTGAAATTTACTACAGTGCTATAAGGCTTAATCGTACTAATGAAAAACAATACTTTCAGTATCCATGAGTATTTTTCAAAAATATTAACCTTTCATTGTGTCATTCATCTTCCGTATCCGTAATGAATTAGTTGTATTTTGCTGACGTTCGTCCATTTGTTTTAATATTCCACGCGAATATCCGTGATAAGAATAACAAAAAAAAAGTCTTCCACGATAAACAAAAATTTTCGTGGAATATATCTTAATTCTACGTAATTGATAATAATAAAACCTTAATACACGAAAAACATTAAATATATATATATGTAACTACATGTGTGTATTAAATAGGACTAATTACTTGTAAAGTGAAAAAACGTATTAATATTATATTTGTTGTCATTATTGAAAAGAAAGATACAGTTTAAGTGGAATTTTTCAAAGAACTTTATAAACAATTGGACAGAAGGGAGACGTTCGTTATCTTTTTGTTGAAAAAAAAGGATATTTTTTATTTATAAACTTGTATATATTTATCGTATAATTATTCATTTTTCATGAAGATAGTTTGACAGAGTCACTTGACAATCTTGACATGCCGATTCGATTTCTAAAGAACGATTAGAGTTATTGAGCTCATTCCTGCGAATGCCTTTTTTGAGTTTTACTATATGATCAAAATATCATCACATAATATTCATCCTTAAATTTATTTGTAAAAATGATTTATTAACAAAAAACAAGAATATGTTTATTTATATATTTTCGTACTCATAAAAAAAATATTTCATGAAGAACAACAATTTGACAAGGTTTAATGGTTTAAAATTTTTTTCTTTAACGTTTCAGTTATGTATAAAGAGGTATATTTATATTGTTTTTTTCGATTGATTGAAATAAACGAAATTTC